ACAATTTGGAGGACGTCGCGCAACTCTGGTACCTCCAACTCCCGGGAGGGCGAGGGCACGCCGCGTGGGGAAGCGATTCAAGGAGCTCTTGCACTTGCAGTTCGGGCCTCCCCTCCGTTCGGCTCCGCTGTTCGAGCTTGCCGAGTGCCGGCGTACCGGGACCGTGGAGGAGTACTCCAATCACTTCCAGGCCCTCCTGCCTCGCGCGGGTCGTCTTGATGAGGCTCAGCGCGTCCAGCTCTTCACCGGCGGACTCCTGCCGCCGCTCAGCCACGCCGTCCGCATCCGAACCCGGAGACGCGCGGCCGCCATGAGCTGGGCGCGCCAAGTGGAGTTGATGGAGATCGACCGCCGGTGCAGCCTCCCCCCTCGGGCGCCCAGCTGCTGCCTCCTTCCCGCTCGCCGCCCGGCGCTCAGGCGCCCGGCGCCCGGGCTGGCGCTCCCTCGCCCCGGTGGCCACCCAGCAGGGTCGCGGCGAGGGCAACTAGAGGCGCCTCACCCCAGACGAGATGGCGGAACAGCGCCGTCTGGGTCTCTGTTTTAATTGCAATGAAAAATATACCCGTGGCCATAACAGGTTTTGCTGGCGCCTCTTCTTCCTTGAAGGCGTGGAGCTCGAAGACGCCGCAGACGCCGCTGGCGACGCGGAGCACGACGCCGAGGCACCCTGTTTTTCCCTGCAGGCCATGGCTGGGGTTCCCATGGCGGGCACCATGCAGATCGCCGTGGCAATCGGCGCCGCGTCCCTCGTCACCCTCCTCGACTCCGGCAGCACGCACAACTTCATCTCGGAGGAGGCGGCGCGGCGCTCCGGTCTACCCCTCCGCCAACGCCCCCGCCTCACAGCCTTGGTCGCCAATGGCGAGCGGGTCACCTGTGCCGGCGTCATCCGCGACGCGCCCCTGCTCATCGACGGCGAGTCGTTCCCGGCCGACCTCTACGTCATGCCACTGGCCGGGTACGACGTCGTCCTCGGCACCAGGTGGCTTGGCGAGTTGGGGCCCATTGTTTGGGACCTCGGCCGCCGGCGCATGTCCTTCCAGCGCCAGGGGCCGCCCCGTCTCTTGGACCGGCGTGGCCAGCCCCTCAGTGCCGGCCCTGGGCGCAACAACAGAGGCCGGTCCCCTCCTGGAGGCGCTGTTGCTCTCGTTTGGGGGGCTCTTCGCAGACCCCGTCGGTCTGCCCCCCAAGCGTGTGCACGACCACCGCATTATTCTCAAGCCCGACGCCCAACCGGTCGCCGTCCGCCCGTACCGGTACCCCGCGGCTCACAAGGACGAGTTGGAGCGGCAGTGTGCCGCCATGATTGATCAAGGAATCGTCCGCCGCAGCGACTCGCCATTCTCGTCACCCGTCCTCCTCGTTAAGAAGCCCGATGGTTCGTGGCACTTCTGCGTCGACTACTGGGCGCTGAACGCGCTCACCGTCAAGGATGCTTTCTCGATCCCGGTGGTCGACGAGCTACTCGACGAGCTCCATGGCGCCAAGTTCTTCACCAAGCTGGACCTCCGGTCCGGGTACCACCAGGTGCGCATGCGCCCGGAGGACGTGCACAAGACGGCGTTCCGCACCCACGACGGCCTGTACGAGTTCCTGGTGATGGCGTTCGGGCTGTGCAACGCCCCGGCAACATTCCAGGCCTTGATGAACGACGTGCTTCGCCCGTTCCTGCGCCGCTTCGTCCTAGTATTTTTTGACGATATTCTGATTTACAGCAAGACGTGGGCTGATCATCTTCGCCACCTCCGGGCCGTCCTCGACGAACTACGCCGCCACCAACTCTTCGTGAAGCGCACCAAGTGCTCTTTTGGTGCCTCCTCCGTCGCCTACCTCGGCCATGTCATATCCGCGGTGGGTGTGGCCATGGACCCGGCCAAGGTGCAGGCAATCCATGATTGGCCGGCTCCACGTTCGCCCCGGGTTGTGCCCGGCTTCCTCGGCCTCGCCGGGTACTACCGCAAGTTCGTCCACAACTACGGGGCGATCGCTGCACCGCTGACGGCCCTACTCAAGAAGGAGGGTTTCTCCTGGGACGACGCGGCGGCCATGGCATTCACAGCGCTCAAGGCCGCCGTCACGTCCGCCCCCGTCCTCGCCATGCCCGACTTCACCAAGCTGTTCACCGTTGAGTGCGACGCGTCGACGTTCGGCTTCGGCGCGGTCCTGGTCCAGGAGGGCCATCCGGTCGCCTTCTTCAACAGGCCTATGGCGCCTCGCCACCGCTCGCTAGCCGCCTACGAGCGCGAGCTCATCGGCCTCGTCCAGGCGGTACGGCACTGGCGCCCGTATCTCTGGGGGGCGGCGCTTCATCGTCAAGACCGACCACTACAGCCTGAAGTACCTCCTCGATCAGCGCCTCGCCACGATCCCTCAGCACCACTGGGTCGGCAAGCTCCTGGGCTTCGATTTCTCGGTAGAGTACCGGTCGGGCGCCATGAACGTCGTCGCCGACGCCCTCTCCTGTCGCGACAATGACGAAGGGGAGGTGATAGCTATTTCGGCGCCCCGCTTTGACTTCATCGAGCGCCTCCGCCACACCCAGGCCACTGATCCGGCCCTGGTCGCCATCCACGATGAGGTCCGGGCTGGCACCCGCGCCGCTCCGTGGGCGCTGGTGGACGGCATGGTCGCCTTCGACGGCCGCCTGTACATTCCCCCGGCGTCGCCGCTACTGCAGGAGATCTTGGCCGCGGTCCACAACGACGGCCATGAGGGCATCCACCGCACTCTCCACAGGCTCCGGCGGGATTTTCATTTTCCCACCATGCGTCGTTTGGTGCAGGATTTCGTGAAGGCCTGCGTCACCTGTCAGCAGTACAAGTCCGACCACCTCAGGCCGGCCGGTCTGCTGCAGCCACTGCCGGTTTCGTCCGCTGTGTGGGCTGACATCGGCATCGACTTCATCGAGGCGCTGCCCAAGGTGCAAGGCAAAATGGTCATCCTCTCCGTGGTGGATCGCTTCAGCAAGTACTGCCATTTCATCCCCCTGGCGCACCCCTACACCGCCGAGTCAGTCGCTCACGCCTTCTTCGCCGACATCGTTCGTCTCCATGGCGTTCTGTAGTCCATCGTCTCGGACTGTGATCCAGTGTTCACCTCGGCGTTCTGGCAGGAGCTCATGCGGCTCACTGGGACGAAGCTCTACATGTCGTCCGCCTTTCACCCGCAGACGGATGGCCAGACCGAGGCCGCCAACCGGGTCATCGTCATGTACTTGCGCTGCTTCACCGGCGACCGTCCCCGGCAGTGGCTCCGTTGGCTACCATGGGCGGAGTACACCTACAACACCGCCTATCAGTCATCGCTCCGCGAAACTCCGTTTCGGGTAGTCTATGGCCGGGACCCCCCGACCATCCGCTCCTATGAGCCCGGCGAGACCCGCATCGCAGCGGTCGCCCAGGAGATGGAGGAGCGCGCTGCCTTCCTCGACGACATCCGCTATCGCCTTGAACAGGCACAGGCTGTCCAGAAGCGCGTCTACGACTAGCACCACAGGCCGGTGTCCTTCCAGGTCGGCGATTGGGCTCTTCTTCGCCTTCGGCAGCGGGCAGCAGCATCCCTTCCACGCTCGGCAACAGGGAAGCTCAAGCCGCGATACGTCGGGCCGTACCAGGTGGCAGAGCTCGTCAACGAGGTGGCTGTGCGGCTACAGCTTCCTCCCGGCGCTCGCCTTCATGATGTGTTCCACGTCGGCGTCCTCAAGAAATTTGTCGGTACCCCGCCGGCCGCTCCACCCCTGCTGCCTCCGCTCCTGCACGGCGCTGTGGTGCCTGCACCTGCCCGGGTGACGCAAGCTCGGCTGGCCCGGGGAGTGCGCCAGGTGCTCGTTGAATGGCAGGGAGAACCACCTGCTTCGGCTACATGGGAGGATCTGGACGACCTCCGTGCTCGGTTCCCTTCCTTTCAGCTCGAGGACGAGCTGGACTTCGAGGCGGGGAGAGATGTCATGTGCGGACGCACATATGCCAGGCGCGGACGCGCCCGCGACGTCCGCCGCGCGGCCGAGCGCGCTGAGCGCGTTGGGCAGGCGTTGCATGGGTTAGCCTCTAGTGGCTAAAGATAGAAACTTAGATTAGTGAGTTGTTTTGGAAATTCCTAGAATCAGGGAGAGCCTTCCCCTTTTCGGTTGGGCCATTGGCCATATATGCTTGTGATCGCTGAACAAATGAATCAAGAAAGAATTATATTCCTAATCTCTCTCTCTGTTAAGCCTGCGGTTGAGGGGGATAACCTCACCGGAGAAGACGGCCGACGGCTACGAACTGCGTAGCCGCGGTCCGGCTAGTCAGGGGTTCGACGCCCTTGACAACATGTATGTAACAACAAGGGAGAAACAATATCCAAACCTGCTGCTTGAAAATGCTAAGTTTGTTGCTAGCATAGCGTGGAGACAGCACACAATGGACACCTGAATGCCTGAAATATTTTCGAGCTTCTTCATCATGTGTATGCATGAGACCATCCTGCATTCCACCTACATCATTTCTGTCAGACTATTCTTTTTTAAAGGAAGCAACAAACATGCACTAATAGTCAAAACAATAAGAGCAGCAATTGAAACTTGCAGTTTGCATTCTATTTTTCTTTAGGCTTATCTTGTTCATAATTTTTTTCAAGAAAAACACAGATGACTGATTATCATTATATTAAGATAGAAAAGTATAAATAATTACAGAATAAACCGAAAATTCAACAAAAATAACAAAGAAGAATAAAAAGACACAACATATACAGGTTTAAATAGTTTAACAATTGACCTTATTAGCTTAGTTCTTTGTGTATTCATCTTGACAACAATCTTAGGAGAGACACCAGGGACATTGACCATAAGGAATTACACATCCTCAAAATACCTCTACCTTTTCAGTTATTATATTCTTCCTTTCATCATTATCACCTAGTAATTAGACAAGAGTACTATCTAGTCCTTGTTTGCTATCTGTCTACCTCTTGACAACCATTTAAGCAAAATTGTGAAGTAATTCTGATATATATCCATTTCAGCAAAGTAGGAAATGAAGAGGTTCGATGGGAGGAAAGAATCCTACTGTTTTTAAGAGAAATTTGTCATGTGATGTTTTGTCATCCCAAAGCAACACTATAACACGGACTCCTTCTTGAACTTTGCGCTTCAAAATTTCCCCAATGGTGACAGGGTTTCCATTGGGAACAGGTTTTGTTGACTCCCTTACAAGCTTCACAGGGTGATACAAGGACCAGCCGACTATGTAGATAAGGTGATGAGCCTCAATGATTGCATGACAAATATCTTCCCAGCATTTGTTTTGTTCATATGTCCTCCCACCATCCATCTCAATCTGAGGTTGAAAATTGTCAGGAACATGAGCATCTTGATATAGTGTGACCCTACCACCCTTCCTAAGAGGGAAATAAGCATTTGGGACACCAACACTCTGAGGGCCATCAGCACCAACTCCATCCTTGTATAGTGGGTTCATGTCGATTGGCTTATACTGGATATTTAAATGCAGCTCAGGAGATGGCTTCATAGGATTACTGTACTGACCAGAAATTGGAAACCAGCCACCGACCATATCACCTGGTGTGATGTGCTCAACTGGTATTGAAGCCACACCGATAAGCTCTGCCCCAAAAACATCGTTGTCCTTTACAAGAAACTCAATTCTGCTAACTGAATGAGCAACTTGAACATAGAAATGTTCATCCCATTTAGGGTTCTCCGAGTTGGGAATGACTCGAGTTTGTGCCACCGTTGCTCCTGAGAGACAAACTGAAACATACGGATCACTAGTAATGATCTTCCTCATGTCTGGGTGGGTGTTCTCTGACTTCCCACAATCAGTGCTGCAAGCTCCATACCCAGTAAAGCATTTTCGCATCCTTTCTGTCATGAGATCCATATTGGGGAGACATTTTGCTTCAATTATTTGTATATCCAAGTCTCCATGCAACAGCATACTAACCCCAGATTCAGCTGAGTGCTTCCCCATTTTATCACGGTATAAAAAAGATCCACCAGACAATAAGATGAACCAGAAGCTAAACTGTCATTATCATGGAGAAAACATCATTTGCCAACCAAACCATACTGAAGGGCGCTGAGACCTTTATAGGTTATCCAAATACAGAAGGAACCTGCAGAGTGAACTCAATTTTCAGAGGATGCATTCATAATAAACATCAGAAAGTGAAGATAGCACATATTTTGCAATGTTTACCCCATGGACCCGAAAGCCTGAATCCCTTGGTTATGCAGTGGCATTCAGTTAATTTGTTTTTGACAAAAGTCCAAGGAGTTTTTGGATTCTCTGAATAACATGAGATCCTAATTCCTATTGACTGGTTGGGAAGTTGGGTTTATGCTTTTCATGCCAATTTGCAACTCAACATGCAGCCACCACCCTAACCTCACTCTCACTCTCTGTCTCACATCTCACTTGTCCAGCCACTCTACCAGCCAGCTGATCAATCCAGAGTCATCTTCACGATCTGTGCTCTAGAACATATAGTATATTAGTATACACTAGCTAAATGCCTGTGCGTTGCTACAGGCAAACAAAAGAATTCTTACAATACCTTGACAAATAAAGAGCCAACATTTTGGGGTTCATGTTAGCGTGTAGCAATATTCACATTTTTGCTGGAACCAAGTCTGAACACAATAAACTACATGCTTGATTAAAGACATGCCCATTTACATGTTAATCAATCTCAAATGATACGTCATTTTCTTCGAACAAAAAAGGATGACCAGAATAGGCCTGCAAAAGGTGCGGACTGATGTGACCCATTTGATTAATTTAGAAGGTAAGGGTCCATCAGATGGAAAACTTATACTTTCTTATTCACCACATAAGAAATGCTCTTTTTTTATGCTGTCCATAAGAAATGCTGCTATTCTCATTGTCTGATGAATGCGTTATACTGAAGTTTGCTTTTGTTGTTATTGTCAGTTAAGTTAGCACTAGAATTCTAGTATTAGTACGTGTGTCAAACATCATATCTCTAGAACATGCCCAAAGTTCAAGAAAGGCGCTAGGCGGTATCTAGGCGATGACCCATGGCCTAGAGCCTAGGCGAGCCTTGGCGTTTCCAAGGCGATGGCTAGGCGGTGACTAATACATGCATATATACTTAAAAGAAAAGAAAAAATAGGAGATAAGTGGTCCATATTGGAGAGAAAGAGGAGAAGAAGGCCCAGTTAAAAGCCCAAGTCTCATGTTGTAAGCCTGTAACTGTAACCCCCACCGACACCTTATCCCCTTATTATCCCCTCCTCTCCTGGCCTCTCCTCTCTCTCTCCCTCCCGAAGACCCGAACTCCTCTACTCGAGTCCGCCCATCTCGCCCGTGCCGCTGCCTCCTTCCCCACCTGCCGCTGCCACCCCTACCCCCGCCCCCGTCGATGTTACCTCCTCCCCCCACCGCCGTCCGACGTCCCCGTCGCCCCCATGCGTGCCTGCCTTGGTGGACCTGTCTGCTGCGACCGCCTGACGTCGCCTCTTCCCCGACCGGCCGCCGCTGCCTAACATTACCTCCTTCCCCATCGTCGCCTGACCTCCGCGCCGCCCCCACGCGTCCCTACCTTGGCGGATCTAGCCTCCTTTCGCATCCAGCGGTTGGCCGCCGCCTAGGTACCCACCCACCTACCCCCTAGGCGAGGCGGTACCCCGTCGCCCAGCGCGCCCAGGCGACCGCCTAGCGTCGCCTTTTTGAACATTGTTGGGAACATGGGCATTGGATCAAAGTAGAAACAACACACTCCACAAATTTCACATGATTGTATCGGTGCTCCCTCCACTTGTATTTGGTTTGTGTAAACATATCAAATTCATAATTGCATACGTCTGTCTAATAACTCCCTACTCCCATTCAATAGACTCACCCTAGATTCAGTGCTATGAAATCAAGTTTTCACAAGGTCCATCTATTGTATGATTGTATCACCAACTGGCTGTAGCAAGAATCTGATTCCAGGTGCATAAGAAGCAAAGCGCTCAAATCAACATATCTAGCATCTTAAACTAAAGTGGAGGTCATCTGATTATGCGAACAAAGGCCAAAAAGAGCGTTATGATTGTTGGATAACATGTTGTGCTAGGACTCTACGGCTATATTAATATATATGTAACACACATTGTAAGGTAATCGAGTTTTATACTCTCCTAAAAGCATACATACGCTGTAATATTTCAATGATAAATGCAGAATTATCACTGAGCGCTAATGCATCTAGCAATCCTAGTTGAATAACATACCTGAACATGCAAATATAGTAATAATTGATTAAAACCAGAAGCCAATAAACAATCCCCAATCGGAAGCCGGAGAGGAAGGGAGAGAGGGAGAGCGTAAAGAGAGAAGAGAAAGAGAAGAGAAGGGAAGAGGGGAGGGTGGGTAAACCGATAAATGTCCCGGCTGGCCATTCCCGTGGAGCGGAGTGCACGGGGCAACGAGCGGCGCAGGCGGCAGGGCCAGGGGCGCCGGTGGAGTAGCATAGACCGGGCGCTCATGCGCCCCGGTGCTAGGCGGACGAACGAGCGGACAGCGGTGGACGGGGTGCGCGCAGTTCGGGTCCCGAGCGGGCCGGGCAAATGATCGGTGGGCGGCTCCGTCGACGGCGGCGGCGGGCGCGGGACTCGTCTGAATAAAAAAAATTGATAAATGAGTTTTTCATCAAGTCTTGCCAATAAATACAGGAAAAACTTGTGCCTAGATACATAACTAAAAAATCTATCTAAAAAAACTAAAACATGTTATAGTTTAAAATAGATAAAATAGAAATAGTATATTTATTGATTATCACTTTCAGTATTTATCTTTTAAAAGATCAAAAATAATTTTGCATCAGAAATTTCATACTATTTTTAAATTATTTTGATCACTGTTATTTTTTTCTCTCTCTTTACATTTGCATTGAAAACCATATTCTTTCTTCTTATTTTCCTGGCATCCTTACACCTCTATATTGGCTGATTGGATATTGCGTCGTGAGTCATGAATTATTTTCATATCACCCAACTATTTTTATTATTTTTTCTCTGGTATATTTTCATTAGAAACCTTACTTATTGTTTTCCCCATATTATTCCAACTCCATATTCATCGATGGGATACATGTGCGTAGAGCATCTCCAAGAGTTTCGAGAACCCACTCTCAATCTTGATTTTTTGGTAAGACTAAAAAGCTTTCCAACAACTTCCTGTCTAAACTCGTAATCTTTGTGCACTTGGAAAATAATCCAATTGCATGGAAGTATGTGTATGTATTGATGGGCCAATCTAGAGCTGGAATGACGTTGGAAAAGAATAAGGACTGTGATACGGTTCTCAATGCAAATTTACAAGAGAAAAAATTTATAAAAAGCGACAGATAAGATTTGGTAATAGTCTGTGATCCCTGATACAAAATTGTCCTCTATATTTTAGTAGTCGATTTTAGAGCCTGTTTGGTTCCATTTTAGTCCCTACCTATTTGGATCAGGGACTAATTGCCATTAAATGCCATGTTCGCTTGGCTTATAAGCCGTACTTTTTCAACCAACGAACAATATTTTTCTCTCACAACAAATCAGCCAACAGTGCTTTTCAGCCATGGCTTATCAGCCAAACGATCAGGGCAAAAGGTAATGAACAAAGACCAAAACGCCCCTCTTCTCCTCTTCCCCTGCCGGATCTCGCCACCAGCTCCGTCCAAGGTGCAGCTGATCGTCAGCTACGGGGCCGCATCCAGCCACGGCCACACGACAAACCAGCTCGCATACGTCAATGGCGAGACCAAGATCCTGTCACGGGAGAGGTCACTCCTCTTCGCCGACTTTGCCATGAGCCTTGCCTCGCTCGCGGGGAACGCCGGGAACACCTGCGTCAAGTACTAGTGCCTTGCCGCGCTCACATGAAACAACGAGAACGCCGGGGATGTCTGTTTGATATGGATGTTGCAAAAATAAATCGTGATGTTGCACATGTTACAATGGTTGTATACGTATGTTGCAAGCATCTGTTCCAAAAATTCATTTGCTTTTTCATACGTATATTGCAAGTGTGCTTATTTGGATGTTGCATATGTTTCGCACATATATTGCAAGAGTATGTTTGCAATGTTTTTGTTGTTTCAGTCTTATGTTGCAATAAGAGTTTTCATGTTGCAAGTTGCAAGTGTTTTATCTGAATGTTGCATATATTTCACACACATGTTGCAAGTATATGTACCAAATGTTTTATCTACTATAGACTTATGTTGCATTTAAGTGCTTCATGTTGCCAGTGTTTCGTGTTTGAGAGGAATGTTTAGAGAGTCATAGGGCATGTCCCAGGCTCCGGAGGAAGGGGCATGGCGAGCCGGGAGCTGGCGGATAGGGCATGCAACGCAACTGGGGGCCTACAGACGGATCGTCCTCGTCCTCATCCCGGCTCCCAAGTCCTGCCCGCACGGCGATTGAAGAGGAGGTCAGGGGGAAGGAGCGGTGGGCGCGGGGTAAGGCGAGACAGATTGGGGCGGGGTACATGTGTGTGGCGGGACGAGGCAGATGGGGAAGGACTACATCGATATGGTGGGAGTGCGGCGTGTTTCTGTTGGGCTGTTCGGTACCGTCCGATGAAATTCTATCCCATCAGATATCCGGGCGTCAGCAATTTTCTTATTTTTTAAATAACTTTGTCAATATTCTTTGCGCTCCTACGGTACCTCTAACTAAATAAAAATACATGCATATAGGATCAATTTAAAAACGGATGGATGGAAATACATCAAGAAAAATCAAACATCAAGAAAGTTGCATATTGAAAAGAAATCCAGAAAATTTCATATTGAATAATAGTATATAAATTCACTTAAACTTTACTGAAAGTAGCATCCGTACCCATTCATTTTCGGTAATTTCCCCACATGCACGAGGTTTATTTAGTATTTTTGATAAAAAAAATAGACACAAGGGGCACAAGGGATGATGGTTTGCGAGCAACACGATATAACTTACATGCTATATTGA